GGAAACTTTAAACATGTTCAAAACTTCCGCAGTGCCACCGCAGGTTGGGCCAATCCGCACTGGGATCGCCGTGGCACCGCCATGACCGCCATGGAACCGTACAAGGACCTCAGTAGCACCTCCATCACCGTCGTGCCTCCGCAGTACAACCGCCGTGCAATTGCCAAAAAAAAAGTAGACTGGCGACCCTACAGCGATCCCGTGGCGGTTACGGTGGCATCACTATAGGAATAAATCATCAGCAGACAAAATATTACAATGAATTTCGAACGAAAACAATCTCCCATATATAGCCGACATGGAGCCGCCCTGCTGCCGCAGCACCTCAGTAACACCGCCATCCCCGCAGTAGCAACTCACTGGCCCCTCAACGCTGCCGCCAACACCGCAGTACTGCCGCCAATAATCGCCGTGGCACCGTCATCAAACCGTAGAGGCAACTCAATGGGATCTCCATGTCCTCAGTGATCCCGCCGTGGTTCCGCCCTGGTTCCCCAGTAGCACCGCGAAGAAAAACACATGTTTGATGGGTAGGGGAAAACTATGGAAACACTACTGGCGGTGTCACTACGGTGATGGCGATTTTGACAAAAATCCGCAGTGGCACCGTCAATCCGGTGTGACGGGGGCATTAATCCTTTGGGCAATGCTCCTGCAGCTGCGGGGTCAATTAATGGGTTGCAGTTTCAGAAATTCACGACCAACATATCAAAAGCACACAGAACAGGGGTCAGGAGTCATTTTCTTTTTTATCTTACAAAATATAATGTTGAATAGCAAAGCTTGTCGCATGCTACAGCACCAACCAAATCTTAATCTTAATTAAAATTACATCAGAAATATGAATTCAATGGAATTTCAAACTTATTTGCAAAAGGTTCAAGAAACAAGAAAAAACACCTTTTGTCTAGAATCTGTACCTCAATCTATTCTGGTGGTGGAACTTTTTTTGTTTCGTACAATGAAATGTTTTCCTGCTATTTTGATTCATGGTACATTTTTGAGGGTAGAAAAAGACCTACATATTTCCTGTGGAAGTGAAAATAGAACTGTCCTTTGAAACACCAGTGGAAAAGAAAAGAGCTAATTTTCAGTGTGGGCGAAATAGTTAAATTTAGACAGTTGAGTTATTATTCAGCAACTGAAGCTGTACACCTGAGTACATTGAAACTGTACGTTTCACATTTAAATAAAAAAACAATTTTTAAAAACTTCTTTTAAGAATTAAAAATGTTTATGTTCTGAGGTGTGTTTATTTATAAACTGCACGATTTTCTCCTTGTAAGCATAATGTAATGCAATTAATTGTCATTATGTCAAAAAATAATGATGGTACTTTTTTTTGTTGGTAAAGGTATATCAGGGAGAGTATATTTCTTTTTCAGTGTATGTATATTTGATAACGAAGAGTGAAATGTATTTTAATGCGTGTCTTTAGGAATAGTCTTCAAATTCTAATCATGCAAACTGTGACAAAGACTAGGATTTGAGAAATATTCAAGAATTCTTATTTTAGGTGTACTGTCTTGCCAGACTGGACACTTTTTTCTCTGGTAGAATTTGCACTACTGCAAAAACAAAAATATATATATATATAAAAAAAAAAAAAAAAAAAAAAGGTTATCGAAATATAGAGAGGTACAGTAAAAAAAATTTGAGGCGCCAATAATTTGTGTGGTACCCTCCAGTATTTATATTTTTCATGCCGTGGGTGTTACAGATATATCGTCTATGGTGATGTAAAATCATTACACTTTATTTAGCTGATTGTACATGTACAGTGCTGTGAAAAAAAAAAAAAAAAAAAATGGGAAGGAGTCAAACACTTTTATCACTTCAATGTTTCAGATCAAACTAATTTTTATATTAGACAAAGAATGTGATTAAACACAAAATGCAGTTTTTACATGATTTCATTTAGTGCAAGAATAAAGCAATCCAGTCCTACCTAGTCACATGTGAAAAATCCCCCCCTTCATTCCTGACTCAACCAATTCCACAAAATTTATTGATAACTGAGTTCAGTTTCACTAGACATACTCAAGCATGATTACTTTCAGCTCTTTTGAATCTAAACATAATTTAAATTGAACCTGGCAATGAACGAACATTCATTTGGCAATGTGAAGTAGGCAAAAAGCAGCCTATGATGTTACAATTTATAGAAATTCAAGAACAGATGGGAAACAAAGTCATTGATATCTAGTCTGGAAAGGGGTACAAAGCCATTTCTAAGGCTCTGGGACTCCAAGGAACAACTATGAGAGCCATTATCCACAAACACAAAAAATCTGGAGATAGTGAATTTTCCCAAGAGTAACCGGCCTACCAAATTCCCCCAAGAGCTCTTTGAGGACTCGTTTAGGATTTCAACAAAAAAAAAAAAAAAAAAAACCGACTAACATCCGAAGAACTGCAGGCTGCACTTGCCTCAGTTAAGGTTAGTGCTCACGATTCCACAGTAGAGAGATTAGGCAAAAACGGCATCCATTGGAAAAACACTGCTGACCAAAAAGAATACAAACCCATCTCACATTTACCAGTAAAACATCTTGATGACCCCCAAGACTTATGGGATAATATTCTACGAATTTATGAGTCAAAAGTGGAACTTTTTCGAAAACATGGGTCCTATTACATCTGGCGTAAAGCTAACAAAGCATTCAATTAACACCATACCAATAGCAAACAGGGTGGTGGTAGTGTGATGGTCTGGGCATGCTTTGCTGCTTCAGGACATGGGTGACTTGCAATAAATGATGGAACCATGAATTCTGCTCTTTACCAAAAAATCTGGAAGGAAAATATTCAGCCATCAGTTTGAGGCTGAGAGCTCAAGCACTGCTGGGTTGTACAGGAGGTCAATGATCTGAACCACATAATCCTGTTAACCTCTGAATTGCTTCAAACAAACTTAATGGTTTTGCTGTGTCCTGGTTAGAGTCCTGGCTTGAATCTGATTGAGATAGTGTGGCATGACTTTAAACAAGCAGTTCATGCTCAAAATCCCTCCAACGCGACTAAATTAAAACTATTCCGCAAAGACAAGTGGGTCAAATTTCCTTTACAGTGATGTTAAAAACTCATTGCCAGTTATTGCAAACATTTTGTTACAGTTGTTGCTGCCAAGGGTAGCACAACCAGTTATTAGGTTTTGGGGGTGCTATAATTCAGATCAGGAATCAAGAACAGAGGCAGAGTACAATCCAATAGTTGGATTTATTAATACAGTAGACAGTGGGACAGAGGCCAAGGAAAATTGCACAGTTCAGTTGATATTTAATGGGTGTAGTGGTGGAGGCATTACCAATCTCTGGCCAATGGCTATCTGGGATGGCAGCCAGGTAGAGTGAACACTTTGCCAGAGCTAAACTGTCCAAAGGCAGGATGGAGTAGCTTAGCAGGAAGGCTGTTTCCAATCCTGATGTCCATAGAAGGACTGGGAGCTTGCTCCTAATATACTGGATGGAGAAATAGACTAGGAGAGGATAAACAGGAGCATGGTCCCAATCCTAGAGACTGAGAAAAGGCTTGGGAGCTTGTTCCCATTTACTTGACAAGGAAGGAAGCTTCAATAATTAAAAAAAAAAAAAAAAAAAAAAAAAAAAAAAAAAAAAGTTTTGCTCGTAAATGCTGACTGGTTCTAAGCACTTGTAGTAAATTACAATTCATCAACTTGCAACTCAAAAGATGGGGCATAAATACATCAAACACACACAAAAGGTGGGGTCACTATGAAACAAGACACAGCTGGGGACTGGAGGAGCATACAAGACACAAACCAATGATAGGAGACATTACTTCCAATAAACATGCAACTTGCTGAATGGGAGGAAACACAAAAGGAATTCATGTGAGGTTGTGACAGGACCCACCTTTCCCCCTGATGGGTCCACCCTCATGGCCCAGTGGTGGACCCCAGACACTGGTGCAGGAAATTGTAAACCAGGGAGAAGTTTAAAATGTTCTGCTCCAGGAGGCCCGTACTCCCTTCAGTCCACTAGGAATTGGGGTCCACGTCCCCCAAATATCTATGATCCGGCACATGGTGTTGATGGGGCCACCATTGATGAGTCTGGGGGAGGAGAGCAGCAGGAAGGAAGACTCTAGGGAGACAAAGAAACATTTTTAATTCTCAGGACATGAAACATAAGGTGAATATTACAAAGGGAATGGGGCAGGAGGGGCCTGACCATAGACTCTATAAAAAGATGGACGAAGCAACCGTGATGTCACCCATTGGTTTCGGCATACCATTTAGGAAGCCTCGATTTTGGCCATTTGAATTGCGCCATTTTGTCATTTTGAAACCGGATGTGATTCGTATTGGATGAGAGCATGAATTGAATATCCAGGGAGGAGCGGGGGGGTGGATCTACGGGTGGATCTGACCATATCAGACAAGGACCAGAGGATAGCCACGCCCCCAAAGCATTCCTTTATTCTAGTCTATTTGGGACTATAATTTACACAAATGAATATCATGCTATATTGAAGGAGACTTGAAAATCGCGTTAGATACCATAAAGTAATGTGGAAAATCATTATTGAAATAATAAATCAGGTGGGAAAGTAGGGTCATTTTCTCATAGACGTCTATAGAATTGAACTTCTTTCCTTACCACCGACGTTGCCATCTGCTGGCCATTGTAAAGAATGTAATTTTAAGGCTCTTCCTCATTGACTTCACTTTTCAAACCTGGGTGCTGCGTCCATCTTTTATACAGTCAATGGGCCTGACAGCAGATGAGGATTGGATTCTTGCAATGGTGAATGGGCTAATGAAACGGGGGGCGAGCATCTCCTGGAGCAGAATATCCTTTGCAGCAGGCTAAATCTTCTGTCCCACTTGGTAAGCAGGAGCTGGCCTGTGACGACAACTGGAGTAACTTCAGGGCAGCATCGTGGCCAAAGCAGGACTGATCGAACACCCTCACCTCGTCAGTGAGAGCAGCAAACAATGACACCGAGTCTTCTTCCATGGCTCAGTCTTGCTGCTAGGTCCGCATGGCATCTGAACCTGGGTCTCCTGCGTAGAAAGCAGAAACTCTACCACTGTGCTACCAGGGGACTTCTGCTCAAAATGCAGAGACAGGGCAAGGTTCTCAGAGCTCAAGGTGTCTTTACTTAGGCCAAGGATATCAAAAACATCAGGCAGAGCAAAATCCAAGTGGCAGGCAAAAAGAACAAAAAATCCAAGGACAAAAAATGGAACAAGCACGACAGACAAATGCTGTCACTGTGTACTCTCAAGAAGAAACTCAAGACTGAGCAAGGATAATGGGAACCAACCAGCTTAAATAGGCACAATAACAAGACTCAGGTGAGAGCAATGAACACAATCAGGAAGATTTAAACAAGTCATGTGATCACATAGTGAGAGATCCCAAAAAAAAAAAAAAAACCACTGAAGACCCCACATGGCCAGCACAAAGAATAACAGTCCTAAAGTCTTGACAAGGTTATTCTTTAAACAACTGAACAATCTTTCCAACATTCCCTCAAGAAATCAAAGTAGAATTAAATGATGTTAACTGTCGATACTGTATGTATTAAATAAGCACACCTTGCTATCATCCAAAATCAGCAAGTGGTACTCAGCTCGACTAATGGTAAATAGTTCAGCACATTACATCACCACATTACAGTTGTGCAGTACGCTGTGTATTTCCGCACCCTAGCAGCTGAATCGGTGGAATATGGAAGCACTCATGGCTGCTTTTCAACATGGCCTTTCCAGCTGCATCAAGGATGAGTTGGCTGCAAAGACCCAGCCGCTGACCTTGATTCACTGATTGACCAGACCATTTGTCTTGACAATCATCTGTGAGAAAGGAGGCGTGAGCGACAGCCACAGAGTTTCCCCGTATCTGCAACCAGTGGCTAAGCCATAAGTCCGTTGCAGTGGCCCCAAGGGCTCCAGAGTTCCTCTTCTGGTTCAGAAGAACCTATGCAGCTCGGAAGAACCCGTTTGTCTCAAGATGAGTGAAAGCGTAGAATGAGGAAGAAGTGTTGCCTCTATTGCGGGAAGCCAGATCACTTTCGTTCATCATGCCCTGAGCTCTCAGGAAAAGCTCTATCCCGTCCAGATGGGGGAGTACTGTGACGGAAGCTACTCTATCTCCCACATCCTCTATCACATACCTGCAGATTCCAGTCACAGTTTCCTGGGAGCATATCATTATCTACAAGCCTTTGTTGACTCTGGTGCTGCTGGAAACTTTATGGACCTTTCCCTTGCTAGTGATCTTCACCTGCCTCTGACTAACCTGGACCATACAGTCTCGGTGACTGCTCTTGATGGAAGACCCCTGTGAAAAGGTACAGTTAATCAAGTTACCACACCAGTTCTTATGTCCATTGGGGAAAACCATCATGAAAAGATTCAATTGCATTTGATCCAGTCTCCTGAGTTCCCTTTAGTGCTTGGATTTCCCTGGTTGTCTCTCCATTGTCCTCACACGGGGGCGTAATTTTGATTTCAAATGTAGGGGGACACATTTCTGGCACAAATTCTCTAAAGGGCTTTAGTTCTGAAGTAGAACAAAATGACCATGTTTTTTGATCGTTAAACAAAAATTTAATGAAAAATACAGCAGAAAGTAATTAAATTGATCAAAATATTGGCATACCGCATAAGATAGAAAAGAGTGCAGTAAAACCGCCCTGGAAATGAGGTGGGTGGGGGTTTAATCTCCACTTAATCTCACCCATTTGTCACCCATTGCTGAAATTTAGTAAGAATTTGCACTGACAGTACTCTGATAGCTGCCATCAAAGCAATACGAATATCAAAATATGTATTTACCTTAGAACCTGAGCCCAGCGGCTTTTAAAGCCACATTATGTGGGAATTGGAATTTTTTCAAAACTGCGCTCCCTTAGGTTCTGCGTGCAACACCACTGTTGTAAATACAAGTCACACGCTTCCCGAGAAGCTTATTGCCTGCAAAGTCTGTTTTAACTTGTTTTCAGCCAATCAGAGTAGTCAAAACTTCTCCCCTACCAATCTCGTTTGGGAGTCACAAATTCGAGCTTCGGTGCTGATTAGACATTCAGCAATCAGTAGTTCTCAAACTCGGTCCTGGTGCCCCACTGAGTATGCTAGTTTTTGTTCCAACCACAATTGCAATCTTAGGATTTTAAAAAGCTGTTGATTTGTCTTAATTAGGCATATTTATGTTTACAGCAGTTCTTTATCCTCTTCAGCTACATTTGAAAAATCTATACATGCCATGAAGAATAAAAATTACATATCCTAATTGAGATATATTAAAAACCAGTACAAAAAACTCAAGTCAAATCAACTTTATTTCTACAGCACATTTAAACACGACAAAGTTGATCCAAAGTGCTGCACAATACAGCATACACAATAAATACAAATATGAGAAGACAAATAAAGGAGGCTGAACAAGCACAGTACTAAAAATAGAGAAAATAGCACAGAAAAATTAAAATCAAGCAGTCTGAAAAGCTAAGGCATAAAAATAAGATTTTAAACGAAATTTTAAAATGTCTATAGTGGGAGATGATCTGATTTCGAAGGGGAGGCTGTTCCAAAGCCTGGGTGCAGCGACAGAAAAGGCTTGATCACCTTTAAGCTTCAGCCATGATTGCGGAACTGATAATAAAAGCTGGTTTGATGACCTGAGGGACTTTGGGGCAGAATATGGTATGATGAGAAGATCACTAATGTGTTGAGGTGCAAGACCATGAAGTGCCTTAAAAGCGAAAAGTAAAACCTTAAAATCAACATGGCATTTGACCGGCAGCCAGTGGAGTGAAGCCAGGACAGGAATGATGTGATCCCTCCTCTTTGTACCAGTTAAAAACCTTGCAGCCGCATTCTGCACAGCCTGAAGCCGAGACAAGGAGCTTTGTGATACCCCCATATAAAGCGCACTGCAGTAATCCAAGCCAAATGTAATAAAGGCATGGATCTTGGTCTCTAAGTCCCTGGGAGTTAAAAGTGATTTAAGCTTGGCAATCATGCGAAGCTGAAAGAAACTACCTTTAACGACAGCGCTAATCTGCTCGTGAAATTTCAAAGACGGTTCAAAAACTACACCAAGATTTTTTTATATGGTCATGCAAGTTACTGGAAAGAGGGCCTAACTGACTACTAACTATAGGAACAGAGGGAGGAGGTCCAAAAATGATGAAATCAGTCTTTTCTTCATTAAGTTGAAGGAAGTTGTTTGCTAACCGACACTTAATGTCATTAATGAAATTGAAAAGTGACCTTAGTGAACCACCGCTATCGGGTGTCATTGGTAGATAAAGCTGCGTATCATTGGCGAAACAGTGAAAAGAAATATTGTGCTTGTGGAAAATGGAGCCAAGAGGGAGCATGCACAACGAAAATAACAGGGGACCTAAAACAGAACCTTGGGGAACACCACAAGAGATTGGAGCCAGCAACGAGGAGACAATACCTAATTTGATGGAGAAGGTTCTGTCCTCAAAGTAAGAGGTGAACCACTTTAGGGCAACACCCTGAATACCTTCACTTCACTGCTTAGGTGGTTTAATAGAATTTTATGGTCAAGAGTATCAAATGCGGCGCTTAGGTCAAGCAAAAGCAGGACTGCACAAGAGAACTGCTATGGGAAACAATTTAACCAGACATTTAATCAATGTATACAATCAGTTAATGAACAAACAGGTTTCTCATTGGTGAAGCTGTTGACTCATGGTTGCAAAAACAAATAATTTATTGGCGAACAATAGAGTCGCACATGTTTTGTGTCATGTTTATTAAGTTCAGGCAAATTATTTTGAAAGAACTCAAAACACCACTGTCAGTAACCTAATTTGGAGCTGATTTTGTCAGTCTAATTTGATCTGTTTAATAATGTTTTCACCTTAAAATCCTCACAATATAGAGAATAAGCACAATATGTTCAAGGGTTTTTATTCTTCGTGGCACAAGGGATATGCCCATCAAAATGTGGTTTAAGATGGTAAATAACTGCTCTGAACATGGAATCATGGAAGGCATCTAATTAAGACAAATAGATTGTAAAAATCCTATGATTGCAATTGTTGTAGGAACAAGAACAAGCATACACAGTGGGGCACTAGGACCGAGTTTGAGAAACATTGGCATAGGTATAAATGCTGATTTACCCCGGTAAGAAATGGACCACTGTAGTGGTCCTGAAAACCAGATTAAACCTCAAGTTACCTCAAAAATATAAAAAAAAAAATCAAATCCTGCTTCGTAGTGCAGTCCTGGGGGGGGTTGTTAGATTTCGTCAGCCTGCTTCCACATACAATGCCTGATTGACAATCAATCAATTTTTACTTTTTTTTAACTGAACAATTAAGACTTAGCCTAGCCTATATGTAGCCTGTAATGATAAAGAGGTGATAGGGTCAAAAAAAAAAAATTACGTTTACGCATTGATTCGAGACTGCAAGGATCTAAAGCTTCATAATTAATTAGGAAAAAATCTCAGCTCTCTCGGTAATTCCATGTATCGTTTATCAGATTATGAAAGAAGACTGGAAATAAACTCCCTATTTTTTTCTTTGGAATGGCATTAAAAGTACATATTTAAGGGGAAAACATTATCGTAGACATATTGACCACACATTGAACGACGCATAAGAAAGGTTTTAATATTTGTTAATGGTATTGCGTTAGCTTCCTGTAGGCATATATAAACAAATTTGCTGTCTCATGAGCATTTTAAGTTCAATCCACAGAGCAATAATGTCTTGGATTAAATTGCCACAACATTCTGCCGTTTAGTCTTATAAAGTAGTTAATCGATCCTCAGATCGCTAATCAAGCAAAGTAATGGTGAGTTACCATTTGTTTAATGGTGAGGATTCTGCCTCCCCAAACTGTCCTCCGATGGCACGTCATTGGATCTGAATTGTCATGACTGGGGAAGAAATAATATTGACTGACTTAATTGGTATTTGTTTGCTAAGTAGCTAACTTTACCAATCAATTGCCCAACTCAACTAAGTTGTTTAAGGAAGTTCATAATACTGTTTATCTATGTAGCAAGCTATGTAAGAGGAAAGCAAGTAGTTCCCCGCAAAATGTACATTCGTA